GAAGAAGTTTGATTCCTCGTTTTTGTTTGTTTGATTGGAGAATGCGTCAAAACAACAAAAAGAGATATTTTTTTTTTAATGTTATTGGTAATTCTTCCAAACGAGTGAAACCAGGAAATGTCTGAAATGAAAGAGCCAAGAGTGACTCAACTTTTGCATTGATTGGTATGCGTCCATTAGAGGCGGCTTCACATCTATCTCTATAATTGTATATTCGGTTAACCAAAAGAATGGAGGACTGGAAGCTGCTTCGGACCGTTAAAGACAGTTTCGAAGAATTATTCATTTTCTTCCATATGGTACTCTTAGTTTTTTTTTCATGTATCACTTTCTTTTATATAATCTCACCTTTATTTGTTCTTTATTGTGACATAAATGTATATGGTTTAGATTACTATCGTTTGAATTAGTAACTAATGAAATTTTAATGACAAAAACCAAAATTAGAACCATCATGTCAAGCGGAATACTAGAATTTACATTTTATTTAATAATATATTAAAAATTGAAAAATTAATAAGAAATCAACACCGAAAAAAACCCTTTACCAAAAAAAAAAAAAAAACCGAAATGTGGATTAACAGTCTTAACCACATATTCAAAAATGATAGTTTACAGTTTTTTTGTAGCTCTCTAATTTAAATTCATTTTTGTTTTTTAAATACCTTTTCTTTGAGGCTTAAAAATATACAAAGAATAATAAAAATATACAAAACCAAATAAAAATATTTTTTCCGAACAATTTCGATAAAATCCTAATAAATAAATAAATAAATATTCAGGGTTTAAAGAGACTAGTGACCGTTTAAATAGTCTTAATTAAGACATTGTCAAAATCTAATTTAACTACTCTCTCTAAACTAAAGGATCTTCTTCTTATATAACCCCCACACGTCTAGTGGCATAAACCAGTAATTAAACACTAAACGAATGGACTAATAATAATCTCCACTAATTATCCCCCACTACCCAAAAACCAACCGTTCCCTCTAACCCCAATAACCACGACTCCACACACTTAAAAACAAACACTCACTAAAACGTTACGAAAGCAAAAAAAAAAATTTATTAAAATTCAAATAAGAAACCTCTCTTCTTCTCTATTTAAAATCCGATTTGGTTGGTTACATCGATTTCATTCATCATCAGAGAGATCAAACACACACAAAAATTCACAAAATGTTTCGAGTAAGCAATTTCGTTGTGGGTCTAGCCAACACGTTGGTGATGTTAGCGGGCGCATCGGCCATAGGTTATTCGATTTACATGTTCGTCCATCAAGGCGTGACCGATTGCGAATCAGCGATTCGGACACCACTTCTAACGATCGGAGTCATCCTCTTCGTGGTGTCTTTGATCGGAGTGATAGGTTCTTGTTTTAAAGAAAACTTGGCAATGGTTATGTACTTGATCATATTGTTTACGGGGATTGTTGCGTTGATTATTTTCTCGATGTTTCTATTCTTCGTGACGAACAAAGGAGCCGGTCGTGTGGTCTCTGGTCGAGGGTATAGAGAGTACCGGACGGTGGATTTCTCGACTTGGCTTAATGGGTTCGTTGGTGGTAAGAGATGGGTTGGGATAAGGTCTTGTTTGGCTGAGGCTAGGGTTTGTAATGATTTGAGTGATGGTCGTGTTACTCAGATCGCTGATGCCTTTTACCACCAGAACTTGTCTCCAATCCAGGTATTACTATTATTATTATTTTTTTTTGTACATTTTAAGAATCTTTTATTAGGATTTTGGTTTATTTTTTACTTAGCTTTGGAGGATCTTCCTTTAATCTGGTTTCGATATCAAAATGTTTAGACATATATATAATTTAAGTAAGACGAGTGAAAAACAAGACAATATTTTCGCTTTCTTTTGGATTTTATTTGGTTTTATATCAAAATACAATATACATATATAGTAAAATACCAAGACAGTTTAAGACTTTTTTAGCCGAAATAGTTTTAATCTTTGACTCAGTTCTCTATCACATGCATGAAATAGTTTTAGACTTTACGTAAATGTTACAAAAACACGTATGTTTGGAGTAATTCAATTTTCATTGTTGTGGTTTGAGCAGTCGGGTTGTTGTAAGCCACCGTCGGATTGTAACTTCGTGTTCAGAAACTCGACGTTCTGGATTCCACCAACGAAAAACGAAACGGCTGTTGCGGTTGAAAACAGCGACTGCGGTGCGTGGAGCAACGTGCAAACGGAGTTATGTTTTAACTGCAACGCGTGTAAAGCGGGAGTGTTAGTGAACATAAGAGAGAAGTGGAGAAATCTTTTGGTTTTCAACGTTTGTCTCATCATTCTCCTCATCACCGTCTATTCCTGCGGTTGCTGTGCTCGTCGTAACAATCGTTCTACGAAAAGTGATTTTGCTTAATCACT